TGGGATTCCTAGCTAGTGATTTGGCTATAACAACCAATAATTCTCTAGTTCTCTGTAATTGATCTTGGAACTTCCTCCTATAGATATAAAGTCCACAATCCGTGGTGTGTTACCTGAGCCCGTTGCCGAGCGCGGCGACGGCGGCGGGCGCGGCGTGGGATTCTTAGCTAGAGATTTGGCTATGAAATTCAACCAATCTCTCAATCTTTAATCGATCTTGAAGCTTATTGTCTTCCTAGCTAGAGATTTGGCTATGACAACCAATTCTCTAATTCTCTGTAATTGATCTCGGAACTTCCTCCTATAGATATAAAGTCCAGAATCCCTGATGGTGTGTTACCTGAGCCCGTTGCCGAGCGCGGCGACGGCGGCGGGCGCGGCGTGGGATTCCTAGCCAGAGATTTGGCTATGACAACCAATCTCTCAATCTTTAATCGATCTTGAAGCTTATTGGCTTCCTAGCTAGATATTTGGCTATGACAACCAATTCTCTAATTCTCTGTAATTGATCTCGGAACTTCCTCCTATAGATATAAAGTCCACAATCCGTGGCGTGTTACCTGAGCCCATTGCCGAGCGCGGCGACGGCGGCGGGCGCGGCGTGGGATTCCTAGCTAGAGATTTGGCTATGAAATTCAACCAATACCTCAATCTCTCTAATCGATCTTCAAGCTTATCATTTTAGACATAGAGTTCCGAATCAGTGAAGCTTCCCTAAGCCCATTGCCGAGCGCGGCGACGGCGGCGGGCGCGGCGTGGGATTCCTACTTCCTAGCTAGAGATTTGGCTATGAAACCAACCAATCTCTCAATTCTCTCTAATCGATTTTGAAGCTTATTGTCTTCCTAGCTAGAGATTTGGCTACGACAACCAATTCTCTAATTCTCTGTAATTGATCACGGAACTTCCTCCTATAGATATAAAGTCCAGAATCCCTGATGGCGTGTTACCTCAGCCTGTTGCCGAGCGCGGCGTGGGATTCCTAGCTAGAGATTTGGCTATGAAATTCAACCAATACCTCAATCTCTCTAATCGATCTTGAAGCTTATTGTCCTAGCCATAAAGCCCACAATCCGTGGCGTGTTACCTGAGCCCGTTGCCGAGCGCGGCGACGGCGGCGGGCGCGGCGTGGGATTCCTAGCTAGAGATTTGGCTATGAAATTCAACCATTACCTCAATCTTTGATCGATCTTGAAGCTTATTGTCTTCCTAGCTAGAGATTTGGCTATGACAACCAATTCTCTAATTCTCTGTAATTGATCTTGGAACTTCCTCTTATAGGTATAAAGTCCAGAATCCCTGATGGCGTGTTACCTGAGCCCGTTGCCGAGCGCGGCGACGGCGGCGGGCGCGGCGTGGGATTCCTAGCTAGAAATTTGGCTATGACAATCAACCAATCTCTCAATCTCTCTAATAGGGATGTTTCCTGGGTCAAAAAGCAAGAGTTTTAATTAGTCCGTCAGTTAACTTATCAAAAAATACTCTACATGTATTTTTCACTTTTTCAAACTAATGAAAATTTAAAGAGATAAAGCGCGCCAAAGTTCATAAGAAGAGGCCCGTGACGTCAATGCTTGCATAAAAGTGCCGCACGTTGTGACGTCGTGCGGAACTTCAACGCACCATAACTATGTAATTATTTGTTAGATTGACAAATAAAAATACATGTGTCCAATATTTTTTGATATTAAACATGAAGGACTAAACAATTTTTTTTAGGAAACTAGCCTATTGATCTTGAAGCTTATTACTTTAAACATAAAGTTGCTAATATGTTAACCTTACCTGAGCCCGTTGCCGAGCGCGGCGACGGCGGCGGGCGCGGCGTGGCAGAGCGCGCGCTGGCGCTCCGTGAGCCCGCGCGCGCACACGATGTTGGCGCCCAGCAGCGCGCCGCACCGGGACCACCTGCATAAACAAATATAGCTCATATAATATAGGCAATAAAGGCTATTCATCATCATCATCAACAGCCCTTTACAGTCCACTGCTGGACTATGAGCCTCCTCCACTGTAGGGGAAGGTTTTGCCATAATCCCCACGCTTGGCAGGCGGGTTGAAGATCGCAGTTTAAAAGATTGATGTTTTTCAGAGAGCGCTGCTGCCCGTTCTCTGTTTGATGTGTAGTCCCTAAGTCGCCTCTTACGACACCCGCGGGAAGAGTAGGGGTTGGTGACAAAATGTATTCTACTCTGCCGTCACCACACGGCCAAAATGCACCTTCAAACAGAAGATTTGAAGTAGATCTTTTTTAAATTAAAATGTTTAGTAGGTTTATTTCTCACACAAAATGCAGGATTAAATACATTTAAAGAAAACACATTAATGAGTGTGTGAGACCGGAGCCTGAGCTAGGTAAATGAATACCTGTGTTACAGGTCACCGGGCCCCCACCACCACGGATTTGAGCAAGTATAACCACATAATAATAATAAGTACTACTCCTTTGAAGGTTGGAGACTCTACACTCGAAGTTGTTGACAATTATGTATACCTGGGACAAACAGTCCAGTTAGGTAGGGCCAACTTCGAGAAAGAGGTCAATCGTCGAATCCAACTCGGCTGGGCAGCGTTCGGGAAGCTACGCAATATACTCACGTCCGAAATACCGCAGTGTCTCAAGACAAAAGTCTTCGAGCAGTGTGTGCTGCCAGTGTTGATTTATGGATCCGAAACGTGGTCGCTTACTATGGGCCTCATAAGAAGGCTCAAGGTCACCCAAAGGGCGATGGAGCGGGCCATGCTTGGAGTTTCCCTGCGTGATCGAATCAGAAATGAGGAGATCCGCAGGAGAACCAAAGTGACCGATATAGCTCGCAGAATTGCTAAAACCAAGTGGCAGTGGGCGGGGCACATAGCTCGTAGAGACGATGGCCGTTGGGGCAGAAAAGTTCTCGAGTGGCGACCACGGGCTGGAAGACGTAGCGTGGGCAGGCCTCCTACTAGGTGGACCGACGATCTGGTAAAGGTCGCGGGAAGAGCCTGGAAGCGGGCAGCGCAGGACCGTGCATTGTGGAAAACCTTGGAGGAGGCCTTTGTCCAGCAGTGGACGTCATTTGGCTGAAACGAACTACTGGGATAACTAACAAAGGCGGGAACATTTTAAAATACTAGGTAGGCAGTTTTCAAAGCACTTATAGACGTCCCAAATAATATAGCTTGCCCTACCACCACTTCGGAACCATATCGGCTGGTGTAGAGATGTTGCGGAAGAAATTCAGTGGCACTTTGATAGATAACTCAAAGTTCTAATATTCAAACTGCAAGGGAAATATTTTCATTAAAGTATAATGTGAGTTGACCCACTTTTCCTGTGAATGTCGTATGAGGCAACTAAGGAGAAGCGAATATCAGTCCTCCCCAACACTGATCAGCACGGCAGCGTGGGAAGTGTATGCCAAATACTCCATTTGTCACTGGTAAATTAGAGAAGGTCCTCTTCTTGTATTGGAAACTAAAAATTAGCTGATGATGATGATGATTGAATAAAAATATTATGTGAGAAAACTTAAACAAGTTGATTTCTTTTCTTTGAACTAAAGGGCATAGGTTGTTTATCAAAAGCTACAGACTTACCTTCAATCTTCTATCAAATAATTAATCAATATTAAGTGGTAGTTAGGTCGTGGCTAATCTGCACTGGCGCGCAGGTAACGGGCCGCCATTGTATAGTGTTGTTGTGCCAATGCATCGCAGATAAACATTACGGGCCATTCAGACGTTAGTGGTTAATCGTGAGGCCGCAGAGATTCCAGCTAAGTTACAGCTAGTAATGTCACAGAATAAGTAATAGTACAGGTACAGAAGGATTACTCCGCAAGACGATTTAAATAAATGCGAGTCTTGCTACGACGCGATACAGTGGAATTCAGCTCGCACAGCACTACGTACCTACANCCTAAAGCAGTCATGACTATGTTCACCCTGCGGCGCCGGCTTATCCTTGAATTTTGGGACACGTTGTATAAATAAATAAATAAATAGTGGGAGCCTAAGTAAATGAAGACCACGGAAAGAAAGAAGAAACGATATGCTTAGCACATCATGACCGGAGACTGCAACTCTAAATTTTTTAAAGGGCTAAGCTAAAGGTGTGCATGTTTTCAGCGCGGGTTCATCACAATAGTCCAGGGGGTCTAGACAAAGTGCAAATTATAATCGCAAACCAGTCGAAAAGTGGTCGAAAAGTCCCTTTTTTGTATGGAGTTTTGACGGATTCGATTTTCGATTCGATCAAAAAGTGCGTTTTGTCTAGGGGGGCAGCAGGCCGTATGGAACTAGCGCGTTTTTCTCTGACCGTCACTGACACCAGAGAGGTCTTGTTACGCCTCGGTACTTTAGCGAGGTGGTGTGGTTTTGCAAAACATCGCCCATCTCAGAGGTGGTAGTGGCACATGAAAGTAGTTACAAGAAAAATATTAATAAATATTTAACTATTACTTTTGTTGTTTCAGCCGAAAGACGTCCACTGCTGGACAAAGGCCTCCCCCAAGAATTTCCACAAAGACCGGTCCTGCGCCGCTTGCATCCAGGTACTTCCCGCGACCTTCACCAGATCGTCGGTCCACCTAGTGGGCGGCCTGCCCACGCTACGTCTTCCAGCTCGTGGTCGCCACTCAAGAACTTTCCTGCCCCAGCGGCCATCAGCTCTTCGAGCTATGTGCAACGCCCACTGTCACTTGATTTTAGCGATTGCCACTTGATTACTTTATTAATAAAAAACCTTGTTCATACGTATCCTAAAACTTTAGAGACGCGCTTGTTACAGACCGCACTAACCCCCCGAGTACCCCGCTACACCACCGAGCACATGCAGCCGCGCCCCAAGAGAGGCCCCAAGAGAGGCCCCGAGAAATTTAAGGTACTTTTTTTAAATTGTTTTTTTTTTGGCATCAGTATCGTGCATACTACCACCCCTGAGATGGTCGTAGTTTTACAAAACCACACCCTGTATAACTGATGGAATGATGATGATGATGATGGTGATGATGCCGACTCACCCAGCGGCAGCACGTGCCCGAGGCGCGGGTCGTCGCCCACGCCGGAGCAGTTCCAGCGCCGGCCCGCCAGCTGTGCGCGGCACTCCGCGTACGCCATGCTGCAAATACAAAATCAATCATTTTTCAAAAAATTCACAATTTTCAACCGCCTCTGTGGTCTAGTGGTAAGACCACCAGCTTCAGACGCAGAGGTCCCGGGTTCGATTTCTCAGTGGGGGCAGATTTTTCTGTTGGGTTTGGTTGGTGGTAGGGCTTGTTTTAAGTCTGCCTGGCTAGCTACCACCATCTTACCTAAGTCTGTCGCCATAACAACAATGTTAACAGCATTGTTGTGTTCCGGCAGTTAAGAGGTTAGATAGCCAGTTCCTCCGTGGTTGAGGATTCCGGGTGAAGCCCGCTTCCACCTTCCACCTGATCGTCACTTACCATCAGGTGAGATACAAGCCAAGAGCTTCCTCGTTGTGGATAAAAAAAAAATATACAGCACTAACGCCCGTATTCACAAACATTACTATGAGGTGTCACAGTGCGCGTGGACGCACAGGGTGACACACGAACCAATCGCAGAGCTCTACTCAACGCTATGCGTTCGATTTGCTGCTTCATTTAAGCAAGGATCGTTTCCATGACACCTGCAGATATAGAAAGAAAGAAAGAAAAATATTTTTATTTAGTCCAAACATCCTTAGACTACTTACAACAATATAATTACTAAGTAGGTACCTAGTTAAATTTGAACCAAAAATGGTAATATATGTATATATATAAATATAAGCCCCAAGCATTACTCGCTGCTTCTTATACGCTACTCCGGGACTCGCGGCACAAATTCTATAGAAAATGTGACATCTTCTCTCGTCTCCGCTTTCAGCAGAGGCTGAAGGCAGATAGCTAACCGGTGCCAGAATGCGCAAAGAAGTTGCGGAGCAACTTGTAGCTAACTCAGGTACATCTTTTGCAAAGATTCTCGGCTCACGTTTCTTCCATATAATGACAAAAAGGACTAGTGCCATGTTTCGCTAGCACTTCTAATTATGGAGAGTCAAATTAGGCTCGGCGTAGATTGTAGCTTATGACAATCAACCAATTCTTTCAATCTGTATAATTGATCTTGGAATTTCCTCCAATAGATATAGTCCAGAATCCCTGATGGCGTGTTACACGAGCCCGTTGCCGGGCGCGGCGTGGGATTCCTAGCTAGAGATTTGGCTATAACAACCAATAATTCTCTAATTCTCTGTTATTGATCTTGGAACTTCCTCCTATAGATATAAAGTCCACAATCCGTGGCGTGTTACCTGAGCCTGTTGCCAAGCGCGGCGTGGGATTCCTAGCTAGAGATTTGGCTACGACAACCAACCAATCTCTCAATCTCTCTAATCGATCTTAAAGCTTATCACTTTAGACATACAGTTCCGAATCAGCAAATCTTACCTGAGCCCGTTGCCGAGCGCGGCGACGGTGGCGGGCGCGGCGTGGGATTCCTAGCTAGAGATTTGGCTATGACAACCAATTCTCTAATTCTTTGTAATTGATCTTGGAACTTCCTCCTATAGATATTGTTAGTAGNAATGTTGGCGCCCAGCAGCGCGCCGCACCGGGACCACCTGCATAAACAAATATAGCTCATATAATGTAGGTTTTAAAGTCTATTATTCAATCTCAGGATTGCCTGCAGGAATGCTTTTCTTTCTGGTGGATAAGTCAACATTTTATTCAAGTAAATCTTATTTTTGTCGTGTCGACAACAAAACTACACAGTGTCAGCCCAAAACTCTGCTACAAGAATGGCATTGTTAGTAGTATTCATTAACGCCCGTTTCCTATATTCAATCCTTGTCCAAATCCGGATTACAACTGTCAAATTGAATTCAGTTTTAGATTATATTTCCGAAATGTTCGATGCATTTACACTTTAATATTGTTTAAATAGTCTTAAAAACATTATAAAATTGTAAAAACATCAAAAACCGAAAATTTTTTGGCCAAAAACGTATTAAAATTTGACAGTTGACAATCCAAATCCGTCCAACTTGGATTAGGATTGAATATAGAAATCCAGCATAAATCTTTCTGCATGCAGTTATTTGGGCACGCAGGGCACGACATCATGTGCTTCAACGACTGGGGAACACAACCACACTTGCACTCCAAGTTTAAACCATCTGAGAATCCACAAGTAAATAAACCAACAGTTGTTGTGGTACCACCAGAGTTGAATAAGGACCCCCACTTTTACGGTAGAGGTCGTAAGAAGCGATTACGGGACAACATGTCTGGCCCGGCGTGGGGACTAGGGGAGTGTCGGCCAAATCTTCCATTTGTCGGTGGTAATCGGTCTGATCGTATCTTGCCATCAGGTGAGATACAAAGAGCTTCTTCGTAGAGGATAAAAAAAAAATAGAGAAGGACCTCTTCTATCAAAGGAATAGCGATAAACTTAAACAAGTTGATTTCTTTACTTTGAACTAAAGGGCATAGGTTGTTTATCAAAAGCTATAGATTTATATCCTTCAATCATCTATCAAATAATTAATCAATATTAAGTGGTTGTTAGGTCGTGACTAATCTGCACCGCGTGGCGAGCAGGTAACGGGCCGCCATTGTATACCTAGTGTTGTTGTGCCAATGCATCGAAGACAAACATTACGGGCTATTCAGACGTTAGTGGTTAATCGTGAGGCCGCAGAGATTCCAGCTAAGTTACGGCTAGTAATGTTCAGCTTAACAATCCACGATATTTCAGTTTTTATCTATATTGAGATTTATCATTGAGGGAAAATATTAGTCTAGTAGTAAACTGTGACATGATATCCATTACCTCTGTACAAGGTATTACTACTTATTTTTGAGCATTATTACGAGTATAATATGGCTCAAGCTTCTGAGACAGGTAGGTATGTTAAGTTCGAGCAATAATCCAAGGAAAAAAGGAAAATCTAATTATTTTGTAATGAATGTACCCATTATTGAAATTTCCCTGACTCTTTAGACTTTATTTAACGTTATAAGCACAGCAACAAAGTAACAATGTGCAATCTAAGTTAACACAGTGCCTATTTCTGAACACTCCATATTTCTAGCGTCGAGCTGTATCTACAAGTCCCGATTCAATCGGCTAATAGCACGTTAAAGACAGAGAGGTATGATATAATTTGAATTAATGTTTTCTCCTGTCGAATAACACCGATCTGTTAATCCAGTTCTGTACAATCAGCTTCAAAAAATATATTATCTTCCTCGTACTAGGATATTCTCTTTGTGGTTTTCTTTCTTTCTACGTTACGTAGCATGGGATAAAATAGACGGCCCAAAACTCCGCCACAAGAATGGCGTTGTCAGTAGCCTTCATTAAATCTTCCTGCGTGCACGCAGGGCACGACATCATGTGCTTCGTCGACGTCGTCGTCTTGTATTTCATAAAAAAAAGTTGAAGTAGCAACAGCGTTATTTATTTAATTACTTAAGCCACGTTCCCTGGCTAACTGTACCCCACAAATAAATCATACAATGATTGTGTGGGTACCACCGGTTTGCGATCGACCGATCCGCCTGACGATTGCGGGAATTATGTTTCCTGCCGAGTTCGCTTTATGAAACGCGATTTTGGCGCGGCGATAAACAAGTGGACACCGGGAAAAACATTGCCCTCCTTTCCGTGGTCGGGCTGTGAGAACTGGAGAAATGCTCATTCAGAGATTACGGAAATGGTCATATTTTTTCTGATTGGGAAGTCTCCATTCGGCCAGTTCTGCTCTTGTGATGTTTCTTACATGAGCTGTATCAGGCGCTTATCAATGTTTTATGTAGTCTTGCATTTTAAACTTGAGCTCGATCAATATGAAAGAAAAATCCATCAGATTTTGTATTTTATTAACTGAAAGTTGAAGACTGAAGTCCTCTTCTGTTTGATTTTTGTCGTATTGTATTAGGCTCACTTCATAATTTCACACAGTTTCATGTAAGTGCAAGTACAACAAAGGAAAGTGTGTCAATGGATTTGACCATTAACCGTTAAAATGATAAAAACACAACAGTAAAAATATTTCCCATCACGCTCATTACAAAATACGTCATACCCCCAGACCGGAAGTGACATGCGGCGTCATTGTGCGCGGCGGAAGCGACATGCGTCCGCGCAATTTGCGCGCGCCGACCGTAGCGCGCGCGCTAATAATGACATGATCGTCTGGTGATTGCCATTCAATCAAAACCACAGGTAGGGATGTTATGGATACCTATGTAGTTTCGGTTATGGATACGGTTACGGATATAGGAATAATATTATACCGGTTTCGGTTACAAATATTTTTTTATTTCGGATATCCGAAAGTTTCGGTTACGGGAACGGATACTGTGCTTTAGAATGCAATTTGCAATAGTTGTCCAACACGGTTTATTCATGGCCGCACACTTTACATCGAATAAAAAGTACTTAATATAAAAATAAAAAATGATACTAGATGGTTAATGCTAAAAAAAAAACAATTTAAACTGCCTACATCCGAAACTATCCGAAACTTTTGAATCGGTTACGGTTACGGATATTTTTTATTTCGGATATCCGAGAGTTTCGGTTACGGTTACGGATGTCCATAACATCCTTGCCACAGTGGTTTGGAAACGGATGCTCGGACACGCTAAATGTGCTCGTGATGGTCGGCTGCATTAGCTGGTTCAATCAATATTGTAGCATCAAATCTGCATCGTCATTGACATCGGGAATTCATTCATTTGATAGATCGACCTCATGTAATCAATTCCTTTTTAACGTCTATTAAAGTTGCACAGAGCCTAGTTAGATCTGAGCAGTGAATCATCAACACCAACAGCCCTTTACAGTCCACTGCTGGACTATGAGCCTCCTCCACTATAGTGGAGGGTTTTGCTATAATCCCCACTCTTGGCAGGCGGGTTGGAGATCGCAGTTTAAAAGAATAATGTTTTTCAGAGAGCGCTGCTGCCAGTTCTCTGTTTGATGTATAGTCCTTGTAGCAGTGAATAGAAAAACATAAAAAAATACCTTTACCGCTCATAATTAAAATTTGATGGTTTGTATTTATTTATTAATTTGAATTTCAACTAGTAAACCATTCC